CCACTTCCAGTTCAGCTGGAAGTGCCGCGGGTCCGGCCCCGGGTCCTGCGCGGCTTTGCTCAGCGTCTCCCTGCTCTGCAGACCAGAGAGATGCTGAGCAAAGCGGCGCAGGACCCTCCAGCCCGCCCCGCGGCGCTTCCAGCTGATCTGGAAGCGCCCCGGGTCCGGCCCCGGGTTCTCCGCCGCTTTGCTCCCCGTCTCCCTGGTCTGCTGGCTCCCGCAGCAGACCAGGGAGACAGGGAGCAGCTTTTCTCGCCCCGGAGGAGGCGGGCGGCGGGACCAGGCGTCCCGCCACTCGAGTCCTCCGGGGCGAGAAAATCCCCATTCGTAACTGCGGATCCGACATAAGTCGGATCCGCGTAACTCGGGGACTACCTGTATATTGGTTTATACCATGTTCTAATTGTGGTGTCTTTTCCTAATGAATTTTAGAATGCTTCTCTAGGCTATTGTTTACACCACCCTAATATAAGCATTGGATATAGTCTATTAAAATGTGTTTGGAACACATTTGAGTGTTTGACTGTGCATCTTTAAAGTTTGGTATTTCTTAAGTCCGTTTAGCATACACAACCTTAACTCACTCCTTTTGTGCAATAGTCCTTATCTGTAAGGTTTTGGGATATCATGTAATGTATTTTTCTTTACAGCCCTTAGATATAGGTATGACGCATCTCCAGCTACTCTACACATTATTTTGTATGCCAAACAAAGAGATATCATACGAGTCATTTATATATAATATGCATAGTAAATAAGGAGAGGGTTTCCAGTTTGTTTACTGTGTATCTTAGAAAACTGTAGAAAAAAATACTGTATGTTCATGTTAGTAAAGTCTGTGATATAATGAATATACATGTGGAAGCAGTGTTATGATTTCACAGGCAACCTTTACTGGCATCTCTTGATTTTTGAGTTATTCATTATGCAATTGTTCTTGACATTTCCTTTTACATTTATGTATTTTATTTGTTGCAAATTAAAATCATTTACATATTCTGGAACTATTTAGCTAGATACCAGGGTACTGTCCCATTTACGTGAAGTGCAGGAATCAAAATCCTATTTTCCCTTTAGTCTGCAGGGCCCACAACTCTGTCTTGTGTTTCATCTTATCCCCAAGTCAGGTATGCGCTGTGGCTTTGCAGCTTGCAGACTGTCTGAGAGATATTTGTGATGAATGCCATTCTAGGGAGAGAAGGAAGGAAGGAAGGAAACAGGATACATCTAGGACTGATTCAGCAGGCCAGCCATATTCAACTGTGTGCCTAAGCACGTGCTATAATGTTGTGCTGAGTTGGGACCTATAAGACCCGTGCTCATACAGCAGAATCACTGCTGGAGCTGAAACTTCTTATTTCACAGCTGACTGAGCTGAGGCTCAGCAAGGAAAAGGAGTTGTTAATATGGGAGCCACCTAGAGGAGCATGCAAAATATGGGAGTTTGCATGCAGAGGGGTCATGATCTCAGTGTTCCCTCTTAGCTAAGGTGACCATATTTGAACTTTTAAAAAAGAAAACACCTGGTGCCTGCTGGTCCCTGCTGGTGCAGCTGCGGCGGCAGCTGCTCCACTCGCACAGGAGATGGGCTCAGGAGCCAGCAAACTCATCCCCACACATGCCAAGCTTGGGGTTCTGGCCGCCACCTTGCTGCTGCCAGGGCTGCTGCTACCCCTGCTGGGTTTCATGTTGTGAAGGGACGCTGCATGCCAGGCTCCAGCTTCCCTGCTGCACTGCCCCAAGATGCATGGCAGTGTGGGGTCCGGCAATGCTGCCAACCAGCCGGTAGCCAGGGCTGCTGTAGGGCCAGGAGGAGAGAGTGGGGGGCCAGGGAGGCTGCTGGCTGGGGCCCGTCCTGGAGAATGAAGTTAAAGGCACTGAGGGGAGAAGTGGCATGGCTAGAAAAGGAACCCAGTAATCCTGCTTCCCAGAATCCCTTCCTTTCCTCTGCCTGGCCCACCAAGCACCAGTTCCCACAGTCCTCACAGAGCACAGACAGGAACCCCCCAATCTAACCAACAGACCCACTGCCCACCTACAGGAAAGGAAAGAAGCCAGAAGTTCTAATACCCAGTTCCCTGCTCTTACCCGATTCCCCTGCCCTCCCCCAGAGCCAGGCACCTCCAGCCCCCCTGCTGTAGCCCAATGCCCTTCCCCTCGAGTCAGGCACCCCAGTCCCCGTGCTCTAACCCACTCCTCACCCAGAACCAGGCACTTCCAGCCCTCCTGTTCTAACCCAATGCCCTTCCCCTCTTCCAGAGCCGGGGACATAACCTTGTGACTCTGTGGGAAGAGCCACACCCCTGCCCACATCGGACCTTCCCTGGGTCTCACTAGAGCTGCCGCCATTGCCGCCACGTGCTTTTCCCTTCAGGCGCTGAGGCACGTGCGCAGAGCAGCTATTAACGTCTGGGTGCATGACTCCGAATGTTCGAATGACAGGCACGTGCCCCGCCCCATCCCTGATCCCCTTTGCAGGGCAAAATCAGGACATTTGTAGCCATTTAGAAAAGCCAGCCAGCCAGAGATTTAATAAGTGAAAAGGAGGATGTGTCCAGGAAAAACCGGACGTATTGTAATCCACCCCGAAGATGGGAGGCAGCACAGCTTCACAGGTAATTAATCAGTCCCACCCAGCCAGAGTATCAGGGCTCCATGCACATAGCTGACTGACTGGGTGGGGCTGATTAATCACCTGTGAAGCTGTACTGTCCAGTAGCATAGAGGGAACACGGTTATGACAGTATAATTACGTCAAGCTTGCAGCATAGTTCACATTCATTACAGCACATATGCATGTGTTCATAATGAGTATTATGCAGGGACCAATATCACTTTTAATTTGATGTTGACCTCTTAAACTCATATGGTTTAAACCTGAATACATCCTGTGATTGAAGCTAGGTAAAGCAGAATATCTGCCAGGTGCTTCTCTGTTTTTAAGATAATATGTTCAGTGTAATGAACTGTATTTACTAATTTACATTTTAGGATTAAGGAGGAGGAATGGGATAAGTATATTATACCTACAAAATCTGAGTCAGAAAAATATAAAGTGAGTCGTACTTTCAGTTTCCTGATGAACAGAATGACTAGTACACGAAATAAGTGCAAGGTAATTTCAGATCTACGTATAACTGGGTGCTTAGTCGCATAACTGAAATGCATTATAGCTGAGGATCAGATATGTCTGTTAGTTAAAGATAAGTGACTAATTTTCCCAATTATTTATATTTTATAATTGGACATTTTAATTTAAAACTTATGACAATATGTTGACATTGTCCTTGACAAACACTGTTGTTCATTTTTAAAAGTAACCTTATTTTCACAGTACTAAATTCCATTTCTGTTTTTAAAATTTTACTTATCTAATTTCTTGTGATTTAGCCCAAGTTTAAATGTCTCAAGTATATTTGGGAAAAATTTTCCTACTTGATATACAAAAACTGAAGTATTAGAGAAAGTATGTATTGTTCTTATTGTCTACAGTAATGACTTGATTCGGTAGCCGTTACTGTGTAACATTTTCTCCGTTGAGTAGTTTTATTTGAATATATGAGTAATTGCTGTGAAGCATGTGTGAGTTTTAGAATCAGGTCCGAAACACAATGCTAAATGTAAACAAAGTAAATCATGAAAAGTAAATCATAGACTTTCAGTGTTTTAATTTTTTTTTTAATTTTTTTTTTTTGCCCAACAAAAATGGTTTGGTGTTCCTCCATCTTTAGACGTACTCTGGGGATCCTCAGGTTGAGAACCACTGCTCTGAAATTTACCTTTATTGATCAAATAATAACATTACAATGTCTATTGTTACCTGCAAGAGGAGATAAATATTTTATGAGCCATTTTCCCTTAAGATAAGAATGTTTTAACCATCATAATATTGTAACTTTAAGTATCTATTTTAATCTCTCTTCTTTTTCATGCTTTATTGGATATGAAGACTAAAAATAAGGAAGCCAAAGACAAACTGAACAGACATCAATTTATTACTGGGAATTTCTCAGGCAATATCCTGTGTATGGCATGTGACAAAGCCCTCTTAGGAAAAGAGTCATTGCAGTGCTCTTGTAAGTAGCTACTCACTTTTATATAGCTTTTATGCAACTTTTGAAAATCAGCTGCAGGATAATTGCTAATATTCCATGTCAAGAGCAACACTCTCTGGAGATACTAACTTCTCTGCCTACTCAGACAGGTCCCCAGGACTCAGGGAAAGGGAGCAAAGATGACAAAAGTCTCCTGCTAGTTGATTCCTGAATGAGCTCTGGAGAAAGCTAGAAGAAAAAATAAAGCCATAATTTTGATTATTCAGTATGTGGATCTGAAGGAGAAAAAATGACGAAGTCCCAGAATAAAGTGCACTATAATGTTTATGAGCTTTTTCAATTTCAGTCTTCTGAGATCTGTTTTTCCTTTCAGATTGCAATGTGATTGTGCATAAAAACTGTAAGGATTGTGCTCCTGCATGTACAAAGGTAATTCTCTATGACTTACTGTTGGTATGATGTTATTGTGTATATTCTCTCTCCTTTTTTTTTTTTAATCTCCAGAGTTTCTTCTATAGTGATAGCATATGCTATGAGATGCTTATTCAAAGTGTTTGAAGAGAACTTTGTCTTTGTAGTTCGCTTCATAATGGGTTAATATTGAATGACTTACTTGTTGTACAGAGACCTACTTACTAAAACAAATAAGATGCCACAAAATGAAACTGAGAAAGAAAACAGTGCAAAAATGTTCCAGACTAAGTGTCTGTATATAAAGGACTGTGGTAATCTCACATAACTGTCTAACACAAGCAACAGAAATAAGCAGTATCCTTGAGCAAATAATTAATAAACAGAGAGAAAAAAGGTAGGGTAGTTTCTTCCATATCTTTGGAGTATTGCAGGACAAATTGGGATATATAGTTTGATTTGCATTTCTAAGGTGTACTTAAAAGGGCTGGCCTTGAGGAACCATTGGTTTTCTGTGATCACAATATGTATTCCCTAATTAAAATGAGGGCTACATCTTAAAAACTGTACACTGATGGGAGCGTCTGTTTTTTAGGGACTAACAAGTGATTTGTACTTAGCTAAAAGCCATGACAGGGCAAGCCATTTTTCAGACTAATGCAGTGCATCTTAACTATGGAGTCACATCAGTGTGGCTGTCTCAGAATAGCTATTGTAGTGCACAAATCTTCAGGATAAACATGCCTAAAGTTACCCTTATAAAACAAGCATTTTTTAATTTTATTTTTCTATTTTATTTTGTCTTTATCAACGTGCATTCACTGAATAACCTGTGGGCAAATTTAATAAAAGGATCTAAAACATAAATTATAATGCTAAATCAGCTGCCTCAAAAAGGTACTGTAATTACTAAGATTGATGGATGTTTACCAGAAAGATGGAAGAGACCATCACCCCAACCAATCATCAAAAGGTTGAGAGAGGAAAAACTACTTAACTTGGTTTCCTTAAATAGAACACTTGTTTAAGTATATGAGGCTTGTACCGTGTAGCAAAGGACACAAATTCTGGCTCAGACTGGCTGGCTTAGAATCAATTTCCGGCCTTAGGTCTCTTCAAACTCATTTAAGACATGTAGCCCTATATGTATAATTATTTTTAAGCCCTCACAAATCGTATGCATGTTGCAAAAGAATAATTCTGTAACACAGTAATTTGAAAGAAAATAAACTGAACAAACTTTGTATGATAATGTGGCTGGAATTCATTATTGTTTCACTTTGGTTTATTGATAGCAGAAATTCAGGATCTTAATGCAGTTTGCTTGAAGGCTCTTCCAGATGATGCTACGAAAGCATATTACTGACTACTCAGTGTGTAATCAGCTGTTATTTCATTTTAATAAGATGAAATTTTTCTTTACCAGAAATTCCAAGAGAGATACCACGTTAAGACCGGATCACAAGCAGTCCTAACAAGTAAGTATTATAGTAAGTAAGCAAGCTAACAGCATAAATCTATTATTTTAAAGTTTAGTGTATAGCCTGAATAACAACATAGTAGGACAAGCATTCTTCATAATTTGTAAGTGTGACTCCCAAATCAAAGGAAAAGAGGTTCATTTGTTAGTATCAAGTACATATAAGATAGGATTTTCGAAAGCGCTCATAGTTGGTTTAAGTCTTCTCCCACTGAAGTCAGTGACCTTACTGCACAGTAAGAAGAGAGGGCCATTGTCTGTCTTGCTAGAAAAGGTGGCCCCCTACCTTTTTAAGCATGAGATCATTTTTTTAATGTAAGTGCACTCCAGGATCTACCTCAAACCCAAACATCCTTACCCCACCTCCTTCACATCCCTTCTCTGAGTCCCCGCCCCTCTTCCACTCCATCCTCCCTCTTCCATCCTCACTCACTTTTATCAGGCTGGGGACAGGTGTTTGGGGTGTAGGAGAGGTTCAGGACTGGGGCCAGGGTTCAGAAAGCAGGCTCCAGCTGGGCCCTGCTTACCACAGGTGGCTTCTGGGTAGTGGTGCAGGTGGCTAAGACAGGCTCATCCCTACCCTGGCCTTGCACCACTCCCAAAAACAGCCAGCAATCTCTTCATCTCTGCCCCCCTCTGCTCTGTGGAGATGAGACACAAGGGGGGGGGGAATAGGCACCCTGACATCAACACCCCCTTCCTCTTCTTCCTGTGCCCAGCACAGCAAGCAGGAGGCTATCGGGGTGAGGATAACTCGAAGGCAGAGGGCAAGAACATAAGAACGGCCGTACTGGGTCAGACCAAAGGTCCTTCTAGCCCAGTATCCTGTCTACCGACAGTGGCCAGCACCAGGTGCCCCAGAGAGGGTGGACCGAAGACAATGATCAAGTGATTTGTCTCCTGCCATCTCTCTCCAGCCTCTGAAAAACAGAGGCCAAGGACACCATTTTATCCCCTGGCTAATAGCCTTTTATGGACCTAACCGCCATGAAATTTTCTAGCCTGTATAGTAGTGCTGAGGGGCAGATGAAGAACCTGTCAGGATCACCTGTCAAAGGTTCTAAGATCTACCAATAGATCCTGGTCTACTGGCTGGTGACCACTGGGCTAGAGAGACAGGGAGTGACTAGCTGTTGCCTCTCATATCTGGTCAGCCTAGGGATGCTGACCCATTTCCTCCCCCCTCCAGTGACTGGTTCGAGCGTGGTGGTGGTGGTGGGGGGGACGACTATTTAGGGTTGTGCCAGTTCAAGAAAAGCCCTCTTTTACCTTGACCAGGCAGTGCAGCACCCACTCTCTTACTTTTGGATGTAGATAAATACCAGATTTTGTCATGAGCGCTGTGGCCATTACATAGTTACTCTGTGCGCTGAGAGTGGGGAATAAATTTTCTGTCTCCCTTCTGAATGGACAAGGTGAGGTGGATTATTTTTTCACCTTTCCCACAGTGATTTGGGGGCTTAGTTTGGACAAAAATTAAATGGGGGGGTTAGGCGGGGATGTCACAACTCATTATGTATTTCTGGAGCAGCTGCCCAGTGCAGGGACTATGTAGGAAAGGGATCCAGTGACTTCTAAAGGATGTAAAGGAAATATTCTTTAAAGGAGCAGAAAGAGGGGTGGGGTTGGGGTTCCCATGGCTGGTACAGCTGAACATCAATCCCCTGTTCCCTATAGCCCCCTTCAACCTCATTTGGGAGATGGTGGTGAGGTCCCAACAGGATGGCTATGGACCAGGATGAAAGAAGGGGGAGGGCTAACAGCAGCATCCTGTCACCTCCCCTTTGTGAAAATGATTATGGAATTTCCTGAACTGAACAGTTTATCTGCCAGTAATTCAAGACATTTAGGAACAAAATTAAATTACATCCAGTGTCTCCTATTCTTCCTCCTACATATCTGGACAATGGAAGTTTTACCACTGATAGCAGTGGGAGCAGAGGTACGCCAACGCTGAATGCTTTTGAAAAGCGTCCCCATCATGTACATGTGTGTGGCTCAACCATGTGCCAGTATAAATGTGGGTATGATGTAAGTGTGTCAATGGCTTAATGTTATTCTCCAATTTACAGTTTGAGCACCAAAGCTACTGAGCTTCACTTTGTAGCTTGTTTTTCCATCCAACTCAGGAAGGAGCTCAGTGCACTATAGGAGAATGTGTCTAGTGACATATATTGATCAATAAGAGAATCCTGTAGTATTTCATGCTGTGGTCATGCGGTCAATAACGTACAAGATTTTCTGTAAGACTTACACATACATTTCACCACACAGATTCATCATTTAGAGATCTTCCTCAGCCCATATTCTCCTCCATACATCCGTCTTCCTCAATGCCCACTGGACTTTCTGCTGTAAAGAAAGAAGTCTCACAGCAACCTCATGCTTTATCCAGAAGTGTTCCATGTGCCAGTTTTGAAAGGTAGAATGCAGCTACCAGCACAGTATGCTAACTAGATTATTCAGTTTTCCTGGGTGAGTTGCTACAATTAAATACTTTTTTCTTTGCAGAAGATCTATGCCTTCTGCAGACCAAGACACTGATAGTAGCAGCTGGAGGGCCAATTCACAGCCTGAAATGCTGTTACAATCTATAGGAACCCTTCCGTCAATGGATTCTTTTGTCATGGAAGGTAAGAAGTAAACTGAGAAATCTACATGTTACAACCTATGCTGCAAAATGCAAAGTGGAATAATTAATTAATAGGTTTAAGAAGACAACTTACCCTTAATACTTTGCAAGTGGGTCTAAATTAATTAATAGGTTTAAGAAGACAACTTACTTTATTAAAAGAAAATATGTGTATAATAACTTAATTATGACTCTGACCATCATTACAATGACACCATCAGATAAATGAGAATTAAAATTTGACCCATAATACTTTGCAAGTGGGTCTAAATGAGTGATGAACTCTTTACTAATTTTAAGTGTTTTGGGTTTTTTAATTTGTTGTTGTTATTAAAAATTAACATATCAGATCTCTCAACATCCTTGCCACTAATTAAAAATATAATCTAAAAGAGATTACAAAACTAAAACAGCCCCATATTTTTTTCTGGCACTCAGATAGTCTGCCCTCAGTACACACATGACAAATAGTATCACCCTTCACTCATATTGCTCCCATAACATAAAAATCCCACCCCTTAACTGCCTACCTCAATTCACGTATTAATATCTGGAAAATCAACAGCAGATTTATGAGTTATTTCAGAAAAGGGGCAGGAGGAGTGAATTCTGGAGTTGAATGGCATTCACAAAGAGAGAAAACCCAGCACAAGAAATTGCAAGCTGGGTGTGTGCAAATTTGAGGTACCTCAGATGAGAGGTCACTTCTTAGGGGGTATTTCAAACAATGGTTCTAATCCTGAAAAAATATTCCCTCTGGTCCCCAAATCTATGTTTGCTTCCATTCTTATTTTTTAACATGTATAGGGTTGCCAGGTGTCCGGTTTTGAACCAGACAGTCCAGTATTTGAGCTTTCTGTTTGGGAAACAAATTGAGAAAATATAAAAGTCCGGTATTTTGTAAATAAGATGTAATGTAGACTGTGATGTAGTGTCAAGTGTGTGCGGTATTTTTGTTGAAACCATCTGGCAATCCTAAACATGTAAGATAATGATGCTGGCATCATTGGTAGGCTTAGTATTTTCATACTGATCTCTTCTCAGTACTCGTTAGTAACTTTAAGATTAAGCCTTTAATTAAGTCTGACTTCAGTTAAGCAATATACTCACTACCTGCATAAAAATATGTGCACATGGAGAACTTCCCTTGCTGAGACACTGCCAACATGTTACTGTGACCAGTTCTTACACAGTCTTTATTTTGTCATAGATGATGTGGATGCCTCCCTGTGGACTGACCTTAGCACAGAGGCACAGGAGTTTGAGGCAGAATCTTGGAGTCTTGTTGTGGATCCAGCATTTTGTAGCAAGCAAGAAAAGGATGTTATCAAAAGGCAGGATGTAATTTTTGGTCAGTGTTAAATTATTTTTTAAAAGTTGAAAATAACTTGGTACAGACAATAGGTGGGATATATATGTTGTGTAACCTGAAGAAAAAGCTCGGTGCTTACATTTTAAGAGGAATAATGAATAATATTTTAATTATATGTTGTCGCAACAAATAATAATATAATGTATCATGAACAGAATATTGAAGACAATTTGAAAGTTAATTTCAGTTTAACCCCATTCATGTACACTTTCTATAAACACTTCAGTACTCAAGCTTTACTACCATGTGGATTCCTGAACAATGAATTTTGTTGGGATAGTCATGAAAACGTTGGAATAATCATGAAAAGCACTTTCTGATAGATATTAAATTATCCAGTCAGGGAACAGAAATTATACCATATGACTTACGTAATTAACCAACACAACATGAAATATAAATAATTGTGATGAATTGTTCATAATTGATCTGCAGACCAAAGAATTATTTACTAAAGAAAGTTACATCATTTACTTAAAATTATTTGTATTTGGGAGGCTCACAAGTTTTCACTAATATTTTGTGGGAAAAAATTACATGAATTTTCTGAATTACTCATTGCAGATTATTTCCTCTGTTCTGTTGTTTACACCTGTTGTTCTTCAGAAGTCAAAATGAAGTTCTTAAAGTGCTTAAATGTTCAGTATTAAGTAAATCTTTTATAAAACGTGGTTTGAAAGAGTAAGCTAGTAGGTATCTGCAGAATAAAAAATCAGCAAAGTCCAAAGATTCATGGATAAACTGAAAATAATGATATTCTTTTCCGAAAATTGATTTTAAAACATTTCTGTGGCTAGTTCGAAAATTTTTACTCCAAGTTTTATTCAGTTCTTACTCCAGTAATCTTCTAGGGTAGTAAGACTCCCACTGAATGACAGAGTATAGTAATGTAAAACATATACAGTATTCATTTGCATATGATTCCTAATATTTATGGGTAGGACTTATGAGCTTTAAGTTTAATGTAAGTAAAGTTGTTAATGTTGTGTAGGTTGGGAGTTTCCTTGTTTGAATTGACACGCTGTGCATTAACACAGCATATCAGTAAGTCTTAATTTTTTTGTTACAATCGAACTATGGGGAATAATAGAAAAAAGGGCAAATCAGGCAAGAATTGGATTTCAGTGTTTTTGGCTGTGCCTCTGCTGACTTGGGCATTGATGTTGTATAGGTCAGCGTAGTGCAGTGGAGGGAGCCAGAGGAGCTTTCTGCAGAGTAGCTGCCAGTGTGAAAATGTTCTCTGAATGCGTTCCTATATGCAAACACCTGCATTGCCCCTAGAGGGTGCCATTTGGAGGGATGGGGGGCAGTAGTCCTCCCTCCCAAGTTTGAACCTCTGGATTTCATGATTGCGGTCTCCTTGAAGTCCTCGCCCTGACTCCAGAGGCAGTTCTCAGATGCCACTGTTTGGGCTGCTTGCAGCTTTGCCTTTGGGGCAGAGAGTTTGTTATAAAAAGAGGGAGGGGCAGGGTGATTAAGAATAACAAATTATAGTTATTCGGGTAATTGAAGGATTGTTAGATCATCATGAAAACATTGCCAGGTACTCCACTTAAAAGAGAGGAAGGAGAAGTGTTGTGCTGCAAGGATCTGTATTAGATCACTGCTGCTAAACTTCTCATAAAAGTTCTTGAAAAAGGGGTAAACCCTAACTAATCCAAAGCTGACTGCAAGGAGTTACAAAGGGATCTCACAAAACTGAGCGATTGTGCAACACAAGGGCAGATGGATTTCAGTGTTGATAACTGCAAATGAATGCCCACGAGAAAATATAATCCTAACTATTGATACAGAAATGATGGGGTCTAAAATAGCTGTTACCACTCAAGAAAGAGAGCTTGGAATCCTTGTTCCTTAAAAAGGTCTGCTCAGTGTGCAGTGGCAGTTTGAAAACTAAAAAGCTAACTGAATATTGCAAATCAATACGACAAAATACCATATTGCCTTTATATAAAATCATTATATGCCCACATCTTGAATACTGTATTCAGATTTGGCCACCCCATCTCAAAAAAGTTATGTTGGATTTGGAAAAGGTACAGAAAGGGCACAGAAATGAGGAGGGATAGGGAACAGCTTCCCTCTGAGAAGAGATTAAAAAGACTGGGACTTTTCAGTTTGGAAAAGAAATGACTAAAGGCTGGGGGCGGGGAAGGGATATAGGTCTAGAAAATCATGAATGGTGTGGAAAAATAGAATAAGGAAGCATTATACATTCTTTCATTAACATAACACAAGAAGCTGACCTAATTAAATTTATGAACAGCAGATATAAAACAAACAAAATAATTTTTTCACAATCCGCTTGTGGAACTCTTTGACAGGAGATAGTGGAAAGGCCCAAACTATAACAGGGTTCCAATAAGAACAAAATAAGTTAAAGGAGGATAGATCCATCAATGGCTACTAGCCAGACTGGACAGGGATGTTGTCCCTAGCTTCTGTTTGCCAGAAGCTGGGACTGGGCAACAGGGGGATGGATCATGATGATTTCCTCTTCTGTTTATTCCTCCCAACATACCTGGCATTGGTCAATGTCAGCAGATAGGATTCTAGGCTTTTATATAGAGCTGAAATGTGTCTGTCCTCTGCTGTGACTCACTAGATCCCACTTCCCTTTCAGAGCTTAGAGAATGCCCAGGAGTCCTGACAGGGTCGGTCTCTCTCTCCCCAGAGTTAGTAACTAAGTAAGACTGTACATTCACATTTTAAGGCTAACTAGTGTCCCTTAAGCGACTTACCGTAACACGTTAGTGTTAGAGCTGTGTGTGTCTAATATTTATTTAATTTTCTGTTCTGTTATATAGGAACAATATACAGTGCTCCTGCTAACTTCTAAGTTGTCTGCCAAAAAACAGAGTTTTCCAGTGCTTTAGGTAGCCCTGGGACAGAGATGTGGGGAAGAGGAAGGGCGGAAGGAATGCACAGGTCGCTCCTCCCTCCCCTGCCAAAATCTGAAATGGCGCCCCTGATTGTCCCCTTTGTTCTGTGCTTCCTTTATATCCAAACTCTGTGCCATGGGACAGAAATGATAAAAGAGAAATTGGGTTTATTGGAGAGCAAATGCAACCATAGTGGGGGGAGGAAGATTAGTAATTTTAATGCTTATATGGAAGAAATAATATTTATGTTCATATATTTGAATATAAACCTATGTGGTACATGTCAAATAATGTGAGTGAAAATGTCTAGTTAGATTATTACACTGCACCATCTTCCTTTAATCTACAGAGCTAATGCAAACAGAAGTACACCATATTCACACTCTCTTCATTATGTCTGAAATATTTCGGAAAGGAATGAAAGAAGAATTGCAACTAGATCACAGCACTGTAGACAGAATATTTCCCTGCTTAGATGAACTGCTAGAAATTCACAGGCAATTCTTTTGCACTTTGAAGGAGAGAAGACAGGAATCGTGTGAGGGAGGAAATGAGAGAAATTTTTTAATCAACAGAATTGGAGACATTCTGGTACAGCAGGTAAAGAGATCAGCAAAATTAAATCTTCACATATTCAGGGCTAAAAATTGATATTTTGTAGATTGTATCATGAGCTTTCATGGGCCCAACCCACTTCTTCAGATGACAGGAGTATTAGAAGTCCAGATCCAAGAATCAATAAGGGAAGGGGGTGGGGCAAGAGAAGGAAATGTGGAAGATTAGAATGGAAGATAGTGTGCCAGCCGATATCCCGGTTCATACCATTTGCATAAGAATTAAACTTGTGAATGAAGTGAAGTTCCAACCCTTCTCTGTGTATACTCACTTCATTCACAAGTTTAATTCTTATGCAAATGATATGAACCAGGATATCAGCTGGCTCCCACACTATCTTCCACATCCTAATAACTTAACCAACCAACCTAACAATGGAGGTGCTAATTATTCTTATCAGCCTCTTGTAATTATTTGAACTATCTACTCAATGTCTCTCTTTTTTTCCCTTCCCTCCTTTTTTCTCTTTTTTTCCTCTTCTGTTCCCCCTTCCCCCCCCCCTTCCTTCCCTTCTTTATTCTTGGATTTTCTAATACTCCTGTCATCTGAAGAAGTGGGTTGCGCCCATCTACATGTTTTGTTAATCTTTAAGGTACCACTAGACTATTTGTTGTTTAAGTTCTTCCTGTTACAGACTAACTTGGCTACTCCTCTGATACTCTTTATAGTTACATATATGATTACATACAATTTTATTATTTTCATCAGTTTTCAGAGGAAAGTGCCAATAAAATGAAGAAAATATATGGAGAATTTTGTAGTCATCAAAAAGAAGCTGTTAATATCTTTAAAGAGCTGCAACAAAACAAGAAATTCCAGAATTTTATTAAAGTAAGTGCTTATAAAAATGTGAATGTTAACAAAGTGGTCAGAAAATATGTTTGTAATTAGTAGCTCTGACTGAAACAACACAGAGTCTGATTTTAAGAAGCAACCTCTCATTTTATTCATGCAGTCTTGGTGCAAATAATTGTAGATGCAAAGTGAGAAATTGGATTGAGTTTCTTTTCAGAATCCGGTCCGTGATATTCAATAGGTCTATTACAATGGTTTATAAACAAACAGAGTCCTGCTTATCAGAGAGTTGGTAAATTCCATTTTTGTTTAGAGTAGAAAAACTTTGGATTTCAGTCTGTAACAGGCCTACTGACAGGGAGCAGGGAGAGGGGCAAAGGGGGCAATTGCACAGGGGCCTGGTAGAATTAAGGGGGTTTAGGCTGCCATGCTGCAGTGGCAACCCTGATCCAGTCCTTTTAAATAGCGCTGCTGTAGCAGCTTGGCAGCAGCTGTGGGAAGCCTCAAAGCTCAGATACATGGAGCCAAGTAGGACAGGAGGGAGGCCCTCCTGCTTTAAGCCCCACACACATACCGGCGGAGCGGCAGTGGCAGGAGTGCACTGGAAGGAAGCAGATGCTCCCTGACCACTTTGAACCCCTGCCTGGGTCTGTGGATTGGCTGGGCAGGAGGAGGAGGGTAGAGTGAGTAGGGAGGGTAGACCTGGGCTGGGAACAGAGGGGGGCAACCTGGCTGGGAAGAGACTGAGGGAGCCGATTTCTGACGGGTGCACAGGACTTCAGAGAGCAAAGGCCAAAGGGAGAAGAGGAACTGGGCTGAGAAGGCAAAAGAATGGAGGGAGTTGACTAGTCAACTAACCGATAAGCATAGGCATATTGGTTAGTCAAGTCGACTGTTTGCATTCACACACCACCACCTCCCCTTGCCTCTGATACAGAAGGGGAGGAAGCAGGATCCAGTGCTGGGGCTCCAGTTTTGTGTATAATTTGCATTTTCTTGGCATTAATTGGAAACGTATTTACAGACTTTCAATAGATGGGAGTAGCAGGATGATATGCATTATTTCAGTGGAGGTCGTGCAGATAATTTAACTTTTTTTTCAGTTTATTCTAGCACACCTAGATCTAATGCCTTTTGTTGTTATTGAATTAATACTGTAATACTGTGTTTCCTAATTTTATTTGGCCACAGAACCCTTTTGAACGCAAAAAGAATTTTGTGGAACCCCTGACGCACTGTGCGCACAGTGCTGAATAGTGACATCATCGTCTCCACTCTCTGGCTAAGCTGGTATTACACAGGGACACTTATTGTGGCAAACACAAATGAAAATTGTTTGAAATAAAATTCTTAAATGAATGAAAATTCCATTCCATTACAATAATTCTGGTTGTAATGGAATTTTCTCACGGAACCCCTATTTTCACTCCACAGAAGAACACCATTTGGGAAACACTGCTTTAATATAACTTTCCTACTTACAATAAAATATGCATATTTATTTTTTTAAAAGCTGCGAAATAGCAATCTTTTGGCTAGACGTCGGGGAATCCCAGAATGCATTCTGCTTGTCACACAGCGCATCACAAAATACCCAGTTCTGGTAGAAAGGATACTGCAGTATTCAAAAGGTGAGTAATTGAATCAGTCTTGTTTTGTGTCAGAGATAAATCTGGAACCTTAATTTTTCTTTTGTATATATGCAACATAGTTCCAAAGCATGACATTTGCAGTTGTGCCAAGAGCCAGCACAAAGCTTGTGTGCATCACTTAAGCTCTCTATAGGAGATAAATGTCACACAAACTAAACATCTGGCATATATTTTGTTAAGAATGGGCAAACTTAAAAGTTTCAGAGGTCATGTTCAGATAAACCTCACAAATCTGAAGAATCTAATTGTTTTAGCAGAAGATCTTGAATGTCAGATGTGGATTTTTTTGGAAAACTATTTAAATGAATTCAAGGGATTGTCTTATAACTGGTGCTGTGCAATAAATAGTATAAAATGTTTTCCATGAATAGTCATACAAAATTGCTTCAATTCTCTCTGTGCCTTCTTTGAATATTATAGTGATCAATAAACTAAACGGTATATTTGCAAAAATGGAGAGTATGCAATTATTCATGCTGTGAACCAAATTATCTTATTTTTATCCAATCAGGAACACCACATGCCATGTGATCTATGTATCTAAAGTACATTTTAAATATTGAATACTGGAAGTAAATTGCTTAAAAAGAATCACCAGTACATGAATCATTAGCAGAAACTATTTGGCAAATAATTGTTACTGTTGAATAAATCTGAGGTAATTACAAGTTGCTGAGGGACATATCACAAACATAAAAAAGGCAACATTTTTCATACAAATTACTTATCAGAAAATAATTTCCTAAGTATACTTACAACATAGCTGTTGGTTTATCAGCCTTAATCTGTGTTAATCAGCTCATATAAAATGAGGAAAAGTATCATCTCTTGACACTCTGTAATATTGCCTGTTCTTTGTTTCACACAGAAGGAACAGAAGAGCATAAAGATTTATGCAGCGCCCTTTGCCTGATTAAGGACATGATTGCAGCAGTAGACTTGAAAGTCAATGATTATGAGAAAAGCCAAAAATTGCTAGAGATTCTCAATAAGATTGAAAATAAAACTTTTACCAAGCTGAAAAATGGCCATGTTTTCAGGAAGCAGGACCTAAAAAAGAAAGAGAGGACACTTTTGCATGAAGGTTTAGTGTACTGGAAAACTGCTACCGGACGTTTCAAAGGTACCTAATCTTTACAAAGAAATGTCATAGCTCTTTATTTGCAAATAATGTATGAGGATTAACATTTGGGTTAACAAGACAAAAAAATAGTAACAAAATTTCACAAAAGGGAGTTTGTGAAGTAGTAGAATTTAAGGTACTATAAAAGGAACAAGAAATGCTGCTAGTCTCTGACATGATTCCAGAAAATGTTATGGTTTGTATGTGATGGACAGCATACCTAGACGTAGAGCCAGATTCAGACATGACATAACCACAAACACAAAATTCTTGCACACTGCTGCTATTTACATTTCTTGCTGCACACCTGTCCCTTTGCCCCCGTAGCATGCAGTTTACATGCACGCTGTCTTGCATTGTACTGACATGTAATTTTACACCACCAAGTACCTCACATGTGATTTTGTACTCTGATGTCAAAATCATACTCGCCTACACTTGCAATACCCTTGTTTGAAAAGAAAACCAAGGATGAAATTCTACTAGAGCCACATATTTATGCCAAAATACAGAATTTAGTCTTCAGTATACAAGAACAGCCATACTGGGTCAGACCAAAAGTCTGTCTAGACCAATATCTTGTTTTCAGACAGTGGCCAATGTCAGATGCCTCAGAGGGAATAAACAGAACAGATAATCCTCAAGTGATCCATCCATTGTAACCCATTTATAGTTTCTGACAAACAGAGGTTAGGGACACCGTTCTGTCCATGCTGGTGAATAGCTGTTGATGGACCTATCCTTCATGAATTGATCTAGCTCTTTTTTTAACCCTGTTTTAATGTTGGATTCACAGTATCCTTTGTCAAGGAGTTCCACAGGTTGACCATGTGTTGTGTGAAGAAATACTTCCTTTTTTAAAAATCCTGCTACCTATTAATTCCATCTGAAGAAGTGGGCTGTGCCCATGAAAGTTCATGATACCATCTACATGTTTTGTTAGTCTTTAAAGTGCTACCATTCTACTTTTTTTTTTTAGTTTATCCTGTGTAGGCTAACTCGGCTACCCCTCTGAAGCTTAGTTTTTGTGTTATGGGAAGGAGTAAATAACTCTTCTTTTTCACTTTTATCACATTACTCATGATTTTATAGACCTCTATCATATCCCCCCTTTGTGTCTTTTCCAACTGATAAATTCCAATCTCATTGATTTCTTCTCATATGGCAGCCATTACATACCCCTCGTCATTTTTGTTGTCCTTTTCTGAACTTTTTCCAAGATATCTTTTTTGAGATGTGGCAACCACATCTGCATGCAGTTCAAGATTTGGATGTACCATGGATTATATAGAGGCAATAAAATATTCTCCATCTCATTCTCAGTCCCTTTCTTAATGATTCACAGCATTCTGTTTGCTTTTTTGACTGCTGCTGCACATTGAATGCATGTTTTCAGAGAGTTATTCACAATGACTCTAAAATCTCTCTCTTGAGTGATAACAGATAATTTAGTCTCCACCATATTATACATATAGTTAGGATCGTGTTTTCCAATATGCATTACTTTGCATTTATCAACATTAAAATTCATCTGCCATTTTGATGACTAGTCGTTTAGTTGTGTGAGATCCTTTTGAAGCCCTTCACAGTCTGCTTTGGAGTTAACTATCTTAAGCAGTTTAGTATCATCCACAAATTTTTCCACTTCACTGTTTATCTCTTTCTCCAGATCATTTATGAATATATTGAATATGATTAGTCCCAGTATGGACCCCTTGGGGACACTACTAGTTACCTCTCTTCATTATGAAACCTGACCCCACATAACTTTCTTTTCTACTGTTATTAACATCCCATTAAAAGCCATCTATTCTTACATTTATAAATTAGAAAAAAAGGCACACATGCTTTTACCCATACTTCCCGGTGCTGTGATTATAACAACAATACCAAACTAAGTTATTGTGGGCATCTCTTTGGATGCAATTTCTCCAAAGAATATTGAGTCGCTTCAGGAAGAAGTTCTGGAAATTGGATGAGTGTTCCAGCATTCTGCTGCAGGAAGGTGGCAGCTAAAAGTGCTGTTGTTCACACAAACTATAAAATGGTAGCCTGAAGTTGCTTTGAGCATATTGTGATGCGATGCAGATATTGCTTGCTCAGTTTACTGTAAGAATTCTAAACTGTTTGTCAGCATTTGTTTTCAACATAAAAGAAGAAATAGATATCTTTCTTTCATTAAAACTACTCTCTTTTTATTAAAAGATAGTTTAGCTCTGCTTCTAACTGATGTGCTGCTGTTTTTACAAGAAAAAGACCAAAAATACATATTTGCAACTGTTGTAAGTATATAAATATTTTTAATACAGATTTTAGATATTTTATTGCATGTTTATTATAAATTAGATGTTTTTCTAAGTTTTGTTATCCAATTATGCGAACAGTAAGATTGATTATTTTTTTGTGGTGCTAGAAATCTTGTCTCAGCAAAAATGTATTTGTCAATGGAAAAATTAAGATTATTTCTAAAGCTAAAATATATGTTTTAAATTTTATCCCAATAATTTATTCCTAGGACAATGTAAAATAAATCATAATTTGATAATTGAACGGGATACTTGATAGATTTCTTGGTTGCCTGATCATTCAAAACTTGAGCCTACCCAGCTGGTCTTTGGCAAAATCCACTAAGATGGTCCACTAAGACCATAAAAAATCAAGACTGCCAAATTCATCTTAAAGTAACAGTTGTGCTTTTAGAATCCTTATCTTCTGTAATAGGATCATTTTTCTTCTATGTATGTTGTGATTATTTCCTATAGGACCAGAAGCCTTCTGTTATATCCCTTCAGAAGCTGATAGTCAGAGAGGTAGCCAATGAAGAAAGAGGGATGTTTCTGATTAGTGCTTCATCTGCGGGGCCGGAGATGTATGAGATTCATACAAACTCTAAAGAAGAACGCAATACCTGGATGAGGCAGATTCAAGATGCAGTGGAAAGGTATAGGAGGCTGTTGTATTTCTTTTTACCATGCAAACCAGGCACTTGTCTTATGGCAAGAAGTGAGTATCACTAGAGCTATGTGAAGCCTGTCAGTTCTGGGTTGCATGAGGCTCAGCAAGCCATTTTGCTTGTTAATGATGTGTCACGTGGATTTTTGCCCCACGGCCAAATTCATGAATGGTGTAAGTGAGCTCAGGATTTTTGGACACTGGTATCTGGCTCCCACTACTCAGTTTGGTGCATTGCCAAATACGCACTGGAGTCGAGTCGCCTGCTTGTTCCAGTAGTAAATAGAGTTTCTCCGAGCTAATGTCAGAAGCTGCATACTCTTCCCTTTCCCTATGAGACTTCATGGGCAGGTCAGCTCAACTTCCCTTTCTTGTTCCCTTTCTTTGTCTTTGGTATTTATGATATTCTGGGATTCTGTACAAACCCCCAGACCTTCTCATGTCCTTGGGAAATCTGCCTCATCTCTTCATGGTATAGCCAGTTGGCTTGCTGCCTCAACTTTAGTTATTTGGGACTTGAAAAGTCAAGTCTTCTCCCAGTCCCCCAAAATATCTTCACAGTACCACAGTTATGAGGGGGCTAATCTTTCATTCTTAAAGACATTGGAGGGAAGGTCAAGGCACACTGTTGGCCTCAATCTTTGCCCTATTTGCAGATCTGTTGGACTGAGTATTTGTCAAATTTGAAGATCTGTTATGAAATATTTGCACAATTGTTGCTATCACAGTTATGTTCCCTTTTTGGCAGTCCTATTATGGCGAAGAGGAACTTAGAGCTTCATTTCTAACTACAGATTGAACTTCTCTGGTCTGGCAACATCTGTGGTCCAGCATGGTTTTAGTTAGCTGGATGTTCACTTATCATGAGTGTGGCCAAGTTTCCCACAGTCCCATAAAGTTTGTTCACAGCCTCCAGTCCTGGCTCTCAGTGTTCTGTGCTGTTATTTAGCTCTAATTTACCCCTAATGTCTTCTAAGAGCCCAATAAGCAGTAGAAATATTGGTCATACTGCTAGAAATACTGACAACCTATGGTTTGGCAAATTCTCTGATTAAGCACCAGTCAGGGTGCAGGAGTAGAGAGGTTCAACCTGTATTTAATGTTTTAAAAAGAAGCTGCAGAAGGATTTACTTCTCTGTTAGAGCAGAAGTTGCTAATGTTGCATTTTAATTTTTTTTTACGGCTGAAAAATGGACGTGTGTGTGTGTGTTATGCAGATTTTTATTTATCTGCCTTTTGTTTTCATTTCAACATTAAAGTTGCCCAGAGGAAGAAGGAAAAATTAGTGAATCTGATGAGGACAGACAGATAGCTGAGGCCAAAGCAGCCAAGATTCAAAAATATCAAGGTACAGTGCCTCTTACACTATGCTTAAAATAACAATGCCAGAGAGTTATGAGTGTAAAATATAATCTGGATGACTGACTAATAAAGGGATGTACAACAGGTACTCAAACACCATAGTGATGTCTTCAAATTGGCTGGATTGACAGATAAGCAGAAGTGGTAAAATGGGAGTGCTTTGATATGTGTGACTTGAGTCTAGATGTATTTCTTTCTTTGATGATATTTCACTGTATCCATCCATTTTATATTTTTACCCCACTGCAGCCAATACAAGAAAAGGTATTTTTAAAACAAAAGAAATGGATGTTTTCAAATAGGCATTGAACTGGTATACTTCTTTATTTACCTTGGGCCAGTCTCAGCCAAACAGCTTGCAAATCACACCGAGTGCCTGTGTGTAGCTGCAGCCTACCAGCTACTCATCAGCCGAACTCTGGCTTCCAGCAGCCTTGATAACCACTTGAAGAGTTACCCAACATACCCACAGTCCCATACTTTCACCAAATATGTGTGTTCTGCACTCTGCAGCTCTCTCTTGGACAGTTCAAATATTAGAGGCCCGTTGCCTTTATTAAAGGTCAATACATAATAGTTTGCTGCTTTAATCAAAACTAATTCAGTGTTGCATTTAAACTGTATTGTTTAGTAAATGGAGTTAAAGAATAAAACAAGCTTAGTTAGTGATAGAAGAGAAATAAAGATAAAATACGTGTAATAACTAAAAATAAGCAACCTAGACTTAGTTTATGGTTGAATTCTTACCACAGGTTCCTAGCAATATTGCTGATCAGATTTTCAAGCCAAGATCTCTCATAGAGTCCAAAGGCTGGTTCCTTTCTCTTCTTGGGAAAAGAGAGAGACTCCAGGGTGTTTTTGCATCTCACTTGTGTCCAGACCCCCTTTAAAATGCATTTTCCTGAGGGTTACCCCTTAAGATAGTTTCTGGGAATGGAGACAAGAGCCTTGTGGTAAAAGAGATTCCATGTTGTTTGTGAAATGCATTTTGATCTGTGCATGCCTGTCCGCCCCAACCTTGCTATCAAATATTGGCCACTTCATGGATGATTGCCAATCTGATTTGGTGGCACCTGGCTAGAGGGGCCAATTTGTCTTTTGTCTTTGAAAAACACATTTCTCCTCTATCCCAGATTGGTCTGATGGATACATTTCATTAATAATTCCAATTTATAGTCATAACTTTACATATAATGTTGCTACACACATTTCACTATGATATTAGTATTGACCTGCAAATTATTAGTTTTCAAATGATACCTCACAAGGTATATTTTGTACAAAGATTATAATCACATATAGGTATGAATAATAGAGCCATATTTGGTCATAATGGGGAGACAACTTTAGATCTCCTCTGGAACCTTCTTGGTGGAGGCTGATTAGAGATGCACTGAATCCTTAGCCAGACCTCCTTCCTGGAATTGGCCATTTTGGGGGCTGTATCAGATGGCTGAAGGGTCCACAATATAGTCAAGATTACATCATCAAAATTCCTCAATGGTCAGTCTTTCTGCCACTGTGCAGATTTTTCTGCCAGGATCTGTACCAGCTTTCATCAGTGCAGACATGGCCAGAATGAATCTTGTCCCTTCCCGTTTACAAAAGGTATCATGCAAACTGAGTTGTTCCTTGGGTCCTGTATTGCTCCCTGTAAGTATTTAGTAGCTTTGAATTAGCAATGAGTATGTGGCAGATGGATAAGAAGAGCAGTGGGGAGTGTACCCTACCATCAGAACAGAATGGTGTTATTGCTGACATAATATGTTCATAATATGTTTGGTTAATAGAATCTCTAAGTAACCAGGACCAGCAGATCTGCAGTTATTTGGAAGACAAACTGCATATCTATGCAGAGCTTGGAGATATGAGTGGATTTGAGGATGTCCATGTGGAACCCCATCTCCTTATCAAACCTGACTCAGGAGAAATGCCACAGGCTTCCTCATTGCTGGCAGCAGCCCTCAAGGAAGGTGAGATTGAGATTGACAAGAAGGAAATGAGGCAATGACTGTACAACACAAACACTGGCTTGCAAGTTTCCTCAGCAGTACTCAACCCCTGCTCAGCCTCAGGCTCTGCCCCACTCCAACCTTTCCCTTAAATCCCCATCTGCACCCTGCCTCTTCCTGTCCCTGCTCTGCCTCAGGCCACCTCTCTTGGAAGTCTATTCTAGACCTTAACTACTCTTACAGTTTTTACTAATATCTAATCTCCCTTGCTGCAGATAAAGCCCATTACTATTTGTGCTGCCTTCAGTGGACATGCAGAACAATTGATCACTATCCCCTTTATACTAGCCCTTTACAGATTTGAAAACTCATATTAGATCCCCCTCAGTCTTCTTTTTCCAAGACTAAACATGCCCAATTTTTTAACCTTTCCTCATATGTCAGAATTTCTAATCCTTTATATTTTTGTTGCTCTTTGTGTGCTCTCTCCAGTTTGAACATGATACTCAAAACTGGACAAAGTACCCGGCTGAAGCCTCATCAATGCAAAGAAGATTGGGACAGTTGCCTCCTGTCTTTTTACATATGACACTCTAGTCAACACACCATAGAATGAGAGTACCTTTTTCACAACTTTATCTCATTGTTGGTACACATTCAATTTGTGATCTACTGTAAATCCCAGATCCTTTTCAGCAATACTATCACCTAGCTAATTATCCCCCATTTTGTGGTTGTACATTTGATTTTTCCTTCCTGAGCATAGTACTCTGTACTTTTCCCTATTGAAATTCATCTTTTTTATTTCAGACCAGTTCTCCAGTTTGTCAAGGTCATTTTGAATTCTAATCCTGTCTTCTGAATTAGGGCTGTAAGCGATTAATCAACTATCCAATAAGCCAAAGCTTATTGGATAGTCAACACACTAATTGACTAGTCACTCCCTCCCCCCTTTCTGCTTCTGTCACAAAGAGAAAATGGGGGAGAAGGGGAAGACCGGGGATGCAGGCTCTAGCTCTGTGGGAGGGTGCAGAGCCCCCACTGAGGGCTCTTGTACATTTTAAAGATTGAAATGCTGCATGGAACCCAGGGACAGCAGGGGACTCTGAGTTCCCCACTGGTCCTAGGCTCCAGGTGAGGCTTCCTCTTTGAAATGTACAAGAGCCCCAGCAGGGACTCTTGTGCATTTCAAAGTTGGAACACTGCTTGGAGCCCAGGGCCAGCAGGAGTCCCCCAGTGATCCCGGGCTCAATCTTTGAAATGTACAAGAGGGCTCATGCACATTTCAAAGGACTAGCGTGGCGTTCTGCCTTATTGACTCATCAAGTAGTCGATGGAAATCCCATCGACTATTTGATTAATTAATTAATTGAAATTTAACATCCTTATTCTGAAGTGTTCCCTCCTATCTTTGTGTTCGCCACAAATTTTATAAGTAAACCCTCAACTCTGCTATCAGTGAAAATGTTGACTAGTACCAGACCCAGCACAGAACTCCACAGGACCTTATAGATAGTACCTCCCAGTTTGACAGCGATCAATTGACCACTAATCTTTGAGACTCAGTTGTGCACCCCTTTCAGTAATTTCATGTTGATCACACTTTCAGTTTGCTTATGAGAATGTCATGTGGGACTGTATCTAAAGCCTTATTGAATTCAAGATATAGCATGTGTACTTATCCCCACCCTCAAACACCCCTGTCAAAGAAGGAAAC